TATAATGCATGGACTCTTTCCTAACTACTATACTAACCACCCAGTAACAAAACTGACTTAATATACCACACACGCTTTATTATGTGATACTACTGGAATATCCCATATAGTTCTATCATAACATACAACACTACCTAGAAGAAGACAAGAAGTTTGGAGGGAATCATACTGGGAGCAAACTTGGGGGAGTTGGAGGGGAGAAATAAGGGGTACGTATGATCATATTGCATTGTATGTATGGATGTATAAAATTCTCAAAAATAAATTAAAAATAAAAAGTTCTATCTCACAATGCTAAAGTTAACCAAATATGGAGATTTGCCCTAGAGTGCACTCAATGTTATCTTTACAGATAATTTCTCTTAAAAGACAGTGTTGACCCAGATTACTACACAAACACCTTATAAGACCCACAGTGAACATATGATGTCTATCCAAACTCCTCCCTTAACACCAAAACTTTACCTATGTGTCAGGTGAGTTATACAATATAAAAAAATCTCTTCTGTAACAGACAATCCCAGCATACAACTGTCCTACTTTGGGAAAAGTAGCCCCAAACTATACAGCATCATCTACAAATTGTCTTGGCATACAAGAGACATATCTCACAATGTATAGACTAGCTCCATAATATATAGCTGTAGACATATCTCACAATGTATAGACTAGCTCCATAATATATAGCTGTAGACATATCTCACAATGTATAGACTAGCTCCATAATATATAGCTGTAGGGTATGATAGCTAGACATAGCCTATGACAGAAAAACTTTCTGCTAAAATTGAGTTCCCATGTACAGAGTTAACCTCAAAATGCATGTAACCTCTCTTACCTCAACATATGCATGTAATAACTCTACAATATAAATGCTTCATAAAGAAAATGTTTCTACATAGAATTGCTGTACGACTCAGACTTGGTCCATAGAATCAATACCTATACCACACTTTACAAATAACCCCTCACTAGATATTCCTTTTTACAGCAAGGTTTTACCTCACAAAAAACTCTAGACCCATCCTCTGGGCAGCATCTATAGTGTGCATGTTGACTCCAACACTACCCTGGCAATCTTTCTAAAGAAAAAGATGCATTTGCAATGTACAAAGTACTTTTAAAGTTAATGGATGCTCCTTACAGTCCCACAATTGCTATCTCCTATATTTAAACTCACTCTGAAACACCTAGGACCAAATTACAACATATAGACTAAGCCTGTATTCGATTGAATTCTACAACATTCAGACTCAAATATGCAGAATTTTCCCATAGCCTCGCATCATGCCACATCAATACATGATGTGTAATACACAGCACATGCTTGGAAACAGTACTTAAGGAAACTAGTATGCAAGCAATAAGACACCCACACCATAATGGGCAAACATATAAACAGACAAACTCAATCATCAAACGGTTAAATGTCCAAAATTCATGATAGACTCGGTTACATGATGGCATGCTTCACGACATGCAGAATTGTGTCTTAAATTAGACTGAACTTAAAATGCATAGCACAGGTTCCACCACATCCCAAGCTTACACTTACTTAGCCAAAGTCTTTAGAATCCTAGTAGACCTCATACCACATCTAGAGTTAGCATGTCTATTGTAGACTTGCCCCCATGATGCACAGCACTGGAATAGACCACAATCACATGATATGTGCAGGATGAACCCCACTCTTCAGGTACTTCATCCTGATTGATTTTACATAAGTAAGACAGTCTAAAGTGCAAAGCTTGGCTTTCTCTGACATAGCATCTTTGGAGTACTAGACTCCAACATCCGGATCTACCCTGAAACATGAGGACATGTCAATGAACACAACTTGCAATGCACTTGAACACATCTAGAAAATTATACTCATGCACAATACTCATAAAATTCATGGAGTTAGCTTGAAAACTATGGTTTTACTTCAGCAGGCTGCCCTTGCCTCCTTTAATGCAGTCCATAACTTCACACACATACCCTATTAGGCATAGACTAGCACCACAAGAAATTCCTTTAGAGGGTCTCCAACTTAGTAACTCTTTAAGCCACCCCATTCTGGTTCATAACATGGAGAACTACATTTCTATCAGAATGATATCATACAACATGAATATTTGTTACTCTAAAGTACAGAGAGACTGCCTTTTCTCTACCACACCCAGACTCACTTCAATTTATCAAACTTGCCCGATCACATCTAGCCTTGTATTAGCACATAAAGATGCGCTGATCAGCCCAGAAATTTACCTCTGTATGTGCAATCTAGCTCCATGGTTGTCTTAGACTCGTGCACTATGCACATACCATGATGTGAAAAAAAGTTATTCATAGGGAGACATAATCCACACCATCCATGTGATATCATACAGCAACTTACCCCACATTTGACATACTCAGATTCATATTATACTGAAAATCTAACCACGTTTAGTTCGTTATATATTGGTATTCATATGCTTCGAATCATATACATACACAGACACACAGAGGTATAATTGTAATCCAAACAACCACATGAACATGCTCATGCCTACATAAGCAAAAATGTTCTGCTCATCATTTGAACATGTAACTATGCATGCACACATATAAATACACACAAATCAAGACAAATGGGTATACATACAGAGATACACAAGCAGCTATCTTCACACACCTGCAAAACAAGATGGATTCATGAAGAGGCTTCTACATGCATAGTAACACATATATTTATATACTTTCAGATAGTCATATTCATCAAGGATTTATATATTGATATACACATCTACAGAAACATTTAACTACATAAATAAACAGATACAAACACAAGAATGCTCTCAAAAATGTATGTAGACAAGCATATTTATATTTTTACAGCAACTCATCCAGATTAATAAGAGTGTGCTAAGGTGCGTGGATGTCCAGAAAGAGATTCCTAGCATCCCAGAGATGGCATAGAAATGTGTACAGAGGTAGAGGTGTATAATCTCATGAACTTGCAGAATACAATGTTCCAGTTTACAAACCCAGTACTCCATAAGCATGTATACCCATATAAACATAGTTACACAGATACACTCAGAAGTAGATATGTCTATTAGGCTTCTGTTCACAGACATAGAAATATGTGCATCCACTTCAAAAATGTACATCATGGCTTCAGAGATACACACTTGGGCACGTCATGGATAGTCATATATATAATACATACATTTATGGACATTTATACCATAGAGGCATGCACAAAACAAATTCACAGACCAAGATATACATTTTATAGGCATCTATAATTCTAATACATACTCTATTCTCACATCTCATATGCCTACCTAGAGCTATAAACATTGACATATATATGCATAGATTTAGTGAGCACATAAATTCATCAATATGCATGTAAACACATTAGCGTTAATATGCAACATGCTTAAAAAGATATGCAGATACTCACATGGACATACATGTACACAATGTAGATAAATATTTAAATAAACCCTGAAGTTATTAGATAATTCTCTTGACTGAGAATTACTGGCAAGAAAGTAAAAGTACACGTATGCATACATATCCTGTGTATACATAGATGCAGATTCAGAGGCTCACATAGATAAACATAGGTAGTCAGCAAAGTATGTCCACACAGACACAAACTGTACATTGTATGCATAGATGAATACAGAGTTAAATATAGGGAATGCAAGTGCAGTTTTACAGGCTTTGTACCCACTTGGATGGAGATGAACTGAGAATCTACAAACTTGTGCATGCAGTGCTCTATAAATGCATTTGTTTACATAGACATAATTGCAAATGCACGTATGCACACATGTCATACATTCTCACATAAGAATGCCTAGGTATACCACATCTTAAACATAAAAATACATTTGCAAATATGTACAGGTTTGTAATTGCACACATGTTACATTCCTTACATGTTAATGCATACCTGTGTTGCTGCACATACTCTATCATAATGTTCTACATGTTGTCTCCTAAGCTTTTAACAATGTGCATATTCTATGCAAATATCAAATAGATGCATACATAGATAACACATATGTCAAAATGGGTGTATAGATGCATATGAGATTTCATGCTACAAATCGACGCAGGACTGCATACACACAGTCAAGTGTATTTATATTGTGGAAACACAGACCTCTGATCACTTAAAAATAGACAGACAAATATTTTAAAACAAACTCATAGATTTTAATGTTCTTTAGCCTTCATTTTTAGCCTGTTCAAGAGAGCAACAATTACCAGATAAGTCTCTGACATGTTTAGGACACATGATTGTGCACATACACTTTTGTATGTATAGAACCACAGATATAATTCACATGGATGCATAGAAATATAAATGTGTAGGCAAATAAAGGATAATACATACATAGATATGCATATGTACCCACCACCAAAATGTCATACGTTAATACTTTAAAAATGTTAGGTATTCATATTTAGTACAAAATGAATCCTACACCTTCATCCAAGTTCTGGCACTTATATGTGATGTGTGGCCATTTCACCTTCCCACCTGTGACACAGCAGTAACCACAGCACTTACCTTTCAGACTTCTTAGAGAGTTTGTACAATGGAATGCTTACCATTGTGCTTGGAATATCATACATGTAGTTGGCACTGCCATTGTTTTTGTTGTTAGATACAAACTGTTTAGCTACATAGGATTAGATTTTCATAGTTAATTTGCATTGTATCAGACATATTTTGTATTTGTAAATGTATCAATAAAGATCAATTTTGTAGTATTTGTGAACATACCAATAAAGATTAATTTATTAACAAAATTAGACTACACTCATGAACAAGGTAAGTTCTGAAATTCTCAGAGATGGTAAGAATTGACTGCTATCTTCAGCAGAGACTCCAGAGGTATGACTCCTGTTACTGCTGCTTTTGTGTGTGTGCGTGTGTGTGTGTTTAACAGTTAATCCACATAGTTGAATCTTTATTGTTCCATCCATAAGTAGTATTTTCCTTTCTACAGGACCTGGGGAAATTGAGGCAGCCCAAAGTGCAAGGTGGAGGAAGGCTTCGTGGACGGTGTGCATTTGCCACCTAGTGACCACATTGAGTAAGTACAGTATTTGCGCATAACCATGATTTTCTCCACCACTTAACACCTTGAAAAGTTGTGTACATAAGTTAACACACATGCCATTACAGCGGCTTTTCCTATACACCGAAATGCAAATAGTAATCAAATAAAATTCACTTTTCACAAAAACCTAGCCCCATTTCCTTTCTTTCTGAGACTATTGTCTACCAGTGGTCTTCACACCTGCTAATAATGTGTCACTTAACAGCACTTTGAAAAATTCACAGCTCTGAGGACGACTCTTATTTCTGCTGCCCCGTTTTTCTTCCAATCCACTGGGGATTGAGCCCAAGGATTTGCATAGACTAGGAAGGTGCCCTGCTACATCCCTAGCCCTTACTTTTCATTTTTACCAACGTGAGAACTCAGGGAGATTTGTTCGTGTAAGTAAATCTGAATAGAATGCATATTCAAGTCACAAGTAAAAAAGCACACAGCGACCTATTTTCAAAACCCATTTTTTTGTCCACCTGTACTTGCAGTACTTGGAAGATAGAGGCAGGAGTATATTAAGTTTCAGGCAAACATCAGCTATACAGTGATGTTTTAAGATACGAATGTAGAAAGAGGACTACTGGAGAAGAGGGTCAACGGAAGTGAGGGAGGTGAGCGGATAATGAGAAAATTTGATCAAAACACAGTGTATGCATCTATGTGTCCTATTGTGTACAATGTATACCGATGAAAAATTAATTAAGGCATATTTCCTGATAGAAAACAAGGGAAATATTAGATGAAAATAATAGTGATGTGTCTTATCCACTTGAAATAATAAATTACTTCTGGTATGCAGTGTAATATATAACTGACATTGTGACAGATGAATTAGTGAATCTGACCCTTTGTGTAGCTGCCTTTGGTAAGTACATATGCAATTGATTTTAGAACATTGATGTTGAATTTATGGGAATTGTTGGTATACATAGGTACTTTATTGCACTATAGAATTAAACTTTTAATCTATATTTTATGTTTAAAACTAGCATCTTGTAATGTAGATAATGAGGTAATTTTAAGATGAAATGAGAGTTGATTTTAACTGGAAACAATATTGAACAATATATTCCGAGAAGTTTTAAACTAATGTAACTGAAAAAAGTTTTCTGTGCATACATTTTGCCAGTATAATCACTTTTTAGTACTGAAGAACATCAGTTAAAAGAAATCACTAGTGATAGAAACTGCTGCTCATTAGGTTTATTGTTTTCTATTGAAAACAAATTAGAGATTAGTATTGTTGATAGCTGGGAAAAATAATGCTTAATTTTAGTATTTTGGGTGAAATTGTTCTAATGTGGGTCATTTTGGGGAGAGAATAGATCTGAAAATTGAACATCTGAAAGTAGATTCTGATACTATCCCCAGTGATGTGTTCTTAAGAAGAATTCATTTATCAGTAGCTAAGTTTGGAGACCACTGTTCTGGACTGTCTCCCAACATGCTTAGTCTAGAGAAACATGTTACCTTGCTTTATGAAATAATTGGTTTACGAGAATGGAACTAGCTGCCATGTTTGAATAACTGAAAATGGTTCTATGATTGATCATGTTTAATCAGATGTTCTGGAATGGAATATTTTATTTGGTTGGTAAATACATACATTGATTAGGCTGACCTCAGCCAGCATAGGAGATATAAAAACATAAATTAACACTTGAAGCATAGCTAGCATGAAAATATACAAGCTGAGCATGGTGATAATTCTGCTATGTTGCGCTAAATAAATACAATGAAAATTGATTTCATTTGATTTTTAATCTTTTTAAGTGTTATAACATGAAAATTTAATTTAAACATATGTGATTCTGTAATAGCACACATATTGATCTAGAACTTCTAACCTTTCAAACTGTTAAGTATGGAAAATTAGGTTCACAGACTAGTCACATAAAGTATGCTGCTATTCTGATGTTACCAGTATCTTATTCTGGTATTTGTGATTCCTTTTTGGGAAATTTTTAGTTGTAAATAGGTAAAAGTAACACAAAACAAAACAAAACAAATCCCAGCAAGATGACGAATATTTGAAGAATAATCTTTTATTAGTGCCTCGTAATTTTCCCAATATGAAACTGAGAAGGCTTCTCAGTGGTTTCATATTAACATCTCAAACTTCCAAACACATAGAAGTGACTGTTATATTAAACCATACATGAAATGTTTCCAGTCTAATAAAGATGTAATGCTAAGAATAAGTCTACTTGTAGAAAATTGTCATGTGATATTTTCTTATCTGCTCAAGGAGCTTTATAACACTTACTTGGGGGAGCTATCTTTAGTACAAGTCATAATATAGTCACAGCCATCAGGATTTTACACACACAAACTCTCTCTCTTCTCTCTCTCTCTCTCTCTCTCTCTCTCTCTCTCTCACAGACACACACACACACACACACACAGAGAGAGAGAGAGAGAGAGAGAGAGAGAGAGAGAGAGAGAGAGAGAGAGAGAGAGAGAGAGAGAGAAAGTCCCAGTCATCTGTATCTTGGCCCAGTGTCACTGTAGAATGCCACCAGTTAGCAGTTATAGTCTTATTTCATATGCATAGAAACATTCAAAAAATAGCATCATTTGTCAGGGCAAAGTGATCATGTAGGGCTTTTGCAATAACATTCACTAGAGAGGTAAGAATAGCACTTCAACAGAAGCCACTAAATGTATATATTGTTGCTTTCTGAATCCTCAGGCAAGCTTTAATAAATCATAAAGAATATCTCACCACAACTAAATGCCATTGAAAGGATGATTTTCAGGTCACCTTGGCCGTGTTTTATGTTTCTGATGGAGACAGTGATTGTTTACTTCATTTCTCATTGTACCTTCTGTATTGCTGACCAAAGGGTCAATGGGCTCCCTCTCTGCTCCTCGAGTCTGACTAGGCTCAGAAAATGAACTTCATCTTTGTAAAACTTTCTATCAATAGGGAAGCCCTGATGTCTTTTGTGGTGAGTATAGCTGCATTCAGAAGACTCTCCCACGGAAACTGTGCTCTAGGAAAGCCTGTTGGGAGAAAAGGTGTGTTATGATTTAAAATATCTAATAGAACTTCTGAAAACAATATTTCTTGAAGATTTAAAAGCTACCAATCATACCACATTTATTTTAATATATAAGGTATTTAGCTTGATTAATATAAGGCATATGTGTGGGGCTCCAGTGAGAGATAATGGTCTAAATATTAAATAAGTTCATTTCCTGTAAGCACAGTAAGGATAAGTATTTCACGCACTTGAGATTTTCTCTTAGATTTGTGTATTAAATCTAATGTGCCAAAAGACAGGAAAGGAGAAGTCTTTCCTGCTACTGATCAAATAGACTCAGACTACTTTTTTTTTCTCTGTACTGCTTGCTCATTTGTTGAAACATGAGCCTCTTTTAAATGCAAATAAATTAACCCCCCATAGAAAATTAGATTTTGATGACATGGAAAGGACCAAATGGTAAATAAAGAAGATATCTGCTGTGGTGGTTTTGTTGAGAACTTTAGTATCTGTTTTTCTACTACATACCCCTCATTTGTCACTTAAGTTTTTTGTGGGATGGCTGAGAGCACATGGAGAAGAAAATGCAAATGTAACTGGGGAACTATAGCGTCTGTCTACATACATCAGTGAAGTGGGAGTGACCATGAAGCCTCCTTTTCATCCTTCATGCCTCCATCACCACAAGGCTAAGAGTGAACACTGCAGGCTGGCAAACAGGGAAACACCTCCCTGATTAATCACAATAGTGTTATGTTTTGTTTCTAGATTTTAATCTTTTGAAAAATAGTCATTGAAGATACATATATCTATACATATAAACATACATATATATATATATACATTTGGTATATCTTTACGTTGTGAAATTATTACATTAAGCTTGTTTATCATGTCTTACCTCATATAATTTTGTAGTTAAAAACAGTTTAAATCTTTTAAAAGCAATTTTATAATACAGCATGTTGGTACTAATTGTGACCTCTATGTAGTATATCACATCACTAAGACTTCTTCATCCTGTTTATCTTGAAGCTTTCTAACCTTTGATCAACATCTTCCTTTTCCGTTTCCTCTAGATCCTCAGTTTGTTTAGTATAATGAGCTAAAACATGATATATTGTGTATAGAACAACTCAATAACAGTCTGTTGTACAATGTAGAGCTGTGTTTGGCGTACTCATGTTGCATCCAGTTGGATGAGTGCAGGATCCAGTATGCGAAATGACTTTTTGAGTCTGATCACATTCCTGGTGGATTTGTCACAATGGCTATTCACTTAGAATTGTATAATCAACAGTCTATGCAAGGGTTCAATTTGATGATGGGAGTACTATCTACAAATATATGTATGGAGGCCATTTATTATTGACGCTGTTCTACTGAAAGAATCGTGTAGTTGCTGAGAGCTACAGCAATGTTTCCCTTGCATTGTGTCATGTTCATAATGAATGTTCTACCCTTCTGTCTCAGACAATTTCTAGTATTCACTTATTGCTTAGTCTCCCCCTCTTTGGGGACCTGATATCCCTTATAGTATCTATATTGTAAATACATTTGTCTTACACACATCTGCCCCACTTCAAAACCAGTTTCAGGCAATTTCCAGTGTAATTCCTTTCATTTGCCATTTCTTTGGTGTCCTGTAAAGACAGAGAATATAGGAGATGGAGAGATAGCTTAGTAGTTAGCAGTTACTATTCTTTGAGAGGACCTGAGTTTCCTTTCCATCACCTACAGAGGGTGTCTCACGACTATCTAACTGAAGCTCCTGGGGAGCTGATGCCCTCTCCCAGCCAGCATGACACCTGCATATCCTGGAGCATGTGCGTGCATGATTGTGCATGCCAGGGTATGTGTACACACATGCATGGATAGAAATAAAAATAAATCTTAAGGCAAAAAGACAGGGCATGCATATAAATTTCTACTGCAAAACCAAAATCTTCTTAACAAGAAAACAAAAACACATTTTGCTGTATTTTCAAGATTTTC